CGCTTGGCCTCCAAAGCTTGGAGCCTTTCGAAGACCTCCCCTTCTGGAAGCATTGCTGCCACAAGAATGCAGGTCTCGGTCGCTACATGCCCATCTCCGTCCTCCACCACAAGCCCTCGTCGACGGTCATCTTGGCATCCGTCGACAACCTGCATCTCTTGAAGCGGCTGGGAGCACACCATGTCTCGGGCACCCGGAGCATCCAGTACGGCGCTGCCGTGTGCGATCTGAGCCTCGCCTTGGGCGCTGGGCTCCCGCCGAAAGCCTACACCATGCACGATGCCATGAGCGACAAGGAGGAGGCACAGAGGACCAATCCGGCGTGCTTGCGGTCAGCCTGGTGCAGCTTTGGCCACCACGGCTACACATTGGTGTCCAGCCTCGTCGCGCTGGCAGGCGAGGCCGGCGATCTGTTGACCTCGAAGGAGCGCCTAGGAGCAGCGGCGACATGCTATTTCTTCCTACTGATGAACCATATGGTGGTGAAGCAGCAGCATGCCGAGAATGCCGAGAAGTACAGCCTTCCGAGGACGACCCTCCGCAACACCTTGCACGGCTTGTTGTTGTCAATCCTCGGTTGCATGCACCCAGGCGAGGTCGGCAGAGACTCCTTTTCTGCACGATGCTTTCAGGAGGCAGTTGCCGAGCACCACTTCGGCCGTGCCAAGAGTCCGTATCGAGGAACACCAAGCTTTGGCCAAGGCCTGTGGGGTGTCCACAGATGTCATGTGGAGCAGCTCCGAGCGAAATGGACCGCTCCCGAGACAGGATGCAGCCCCGTGCCCAGCACCGAAGTCACCAAAGTCCTTGATGACAGCATGGAAGACGCAGCTTGGACGCTCGCTTTTATGTCCCTGGGACGCACAGCCTCAGTCATCCTGGCAGATTTCCGGGCATGGTGGCCCGGTTACGGCAAGGCATTGGTCACACAAGGTCTGGAGGAAATCGATGACGATGATGATGGTGTCGACGCCGAGGGCATGATCTTTGAGGAGGAGGCCGGGGAGCAGCCTGCAGATGACGAGGACCTGAGGCTCGTCGAATCCTTGGAAGACCACGTGCTCAACAAGCAACAGATAGCCCAGCTGTTGGATACGCCGCCCGTGCCGGAGGAGGCCGCAGCAGCTGCAAGTGCAGTCGTGATGCCATCGCAGCAAGCCGAGACGACCGAGCAGACGGACGAGGCCGAGACAGCCTCAAAGCATCTGAAAGCTCCCTAACCCTAAGCCATCCTAAGCCAAAACAAACATAAACCCTGAACCCCATACCCTCAAGGCTGCATTGGTTCTCGCCACAGATGCTTCCGGTGCTACCTCGACCCGACCGAGGACGTGGCATGATCTGCTCCAGCGCATGCGGACCCTCAAAGATTTCGACCTTTCCAAGCCAGGCTCCGAGCTGCTGGGCGCCTGTCTTCAGAGGCAGCTCCTGATGACGCCTCGCATACGTGCACTTGCAGCCTCCACACATCATGCTCGTGGAATCCTGAGCACTGCCATGCTCAGCGGCAAAGAAGCCGTCTGCGACTCCGACTATCACAAGCTAGTGCACGAGTTAGCCTTGGCCAGGTCTGCTGGCTTCTCCGACGGGAAACGAATGAGCAGGGCCAACGGCTGGAAGACTGTCCAAGAGAAGTGCCAAGCTGTTGCCATGAATGCGGCGGCCAGTCCCTGGTTCGTCCACACGGTCACTCACGTTCGCCCGCTCACAGATGTGGAGAAACCCCAGATCGTGCTCTACAGGCAAGGCCCAGAGGTCCACCTCGGCGTGGTCACAACCGTCTTCCGTGGAGCCGTGATGAAAAGCTCTTCCTCCAGCAGAAGGCTCCGGACGACAAAGCCATCCACACAGCCGCTCACAGTCTCCAGCTGCGCAGTAGCCAGAGTTTGGAGGTGCGGTCCTACGGGCACGACCGGGAGGCAGTTTGCGGTGCATGCAGCTTCAGTCATCGATCTCCTGGACCCTATCGGCACCGTCATCGGTCAGATTGTTCCGGCAACCATCTGCTTCACAGGCCCAGAGGAGTGTGCCATCATGGTCTTGCGGTTCAACCAGGATCAGATGGAGTCGATCCAGAAAGTGGTCGACAGCGAGGAGGCTTACCAGGAGGCCGCGGCTGCAGCGCCGCACAGTGTCCCTGAACCTGAGGCGGACACCGTTCTCAATCACCGCAGCTTCGCTCACACGATGCAGGGCACCACGAACCTCGTGACATTCATGGAGAAGCTTCCAGGATTGTGGAGTGCCCGGGGCTTCCAGATCTTGAATGACAAAGGCGGCTTCGACCTGGGCGACGGCCAGGTTGTTTTGTGGACCGAGCTGGTCCAACAGACTCCGGACTTCTTCGAGTGCACGTGCTCTCATGTCAAGAAGGACGATTATGGCAAGCTTATCGTTCGCAAACTTTGCGATGCTCATCCCGATCAGGGTTCGAAAGGCCTCAAGACATTGAGGGACTGGATGCGGGAGGTGAGAAAACTCGCACAGCCAGTGCTGGGGGCTCAGCTACACATGCCTTGATCTTGGAACCCCAGTTCGAGAACACCAACCAATCGCCCGTGTTAGGCTCCACATGTGAGTGCTCCTACTCGTACAGCTTCGCCCTGCTCTCAGTTTCCTACAGAAGTCGCATCCTCAAAAATCGAGTCATGATGTTTGCCAGGTTTCGAAGATGACACCTCAAGGGTTCATCGTGGAATCGTGTGGGCCTCGATCGGATGAGACCGCACCCGGGCATGAACAAGATAAAATAAGAAAATTTATGAGGTCGTGCACGGATCGCACTGGCGCCGTGGCCGAGTGCCCAGGTGCTTTCGAGATACGCTTGTCGATGCATGCGGCGACACCCTGAGGCTCTGTTTTGCGATGTGGTCGGCTTGCACAGACGCTGCCGGAGTCTCAGCCTCCTGCCACTGCGGTTCAGTCGTGACACTCCCCTGCTGAAGGATCGCAGCTCGCCGTGGCAAAACGCCACTCACCGGGGAGCCGGAAACGCAAGAGTAAAAATGACAGGGGATGGTCCGAGTGAGTGCGAGTCAGCTTACATGCCATCTGCCCATGTCCACATGTATCTCAGAGGGAGGGTCAGAAATGGAAACTTCCATTTTCATCCCCCCCACACCCCAAAAGGTGGGGGATAGGCCTTATATTGTTTGGAATGCTGCAGCATTGCTGAAATAGTCTGAAAGATTGCTACGCCCAAAGCCCCAAAGCTGGCTTTCTTGCCAACTGAGTCGGTTTGGGGCTTTCCTGGTGTCGTGGCATGGCACGAGGGGGCCGTAATGTTATTCCTTACAGGGTTCCTTAGTCTTCCAGGGTTTCTGCAAAGCGTGCAGAGCTCCATGTGTCCAAATGCCCCTACAATTTTCTTGGCCTGCCAAACTTTCGTACGCCCCTCTCCAACCCTGAAGATCCTGCTTTTAGGCCCCTAAACCCAGCAGGCAGAAGTACTAAAAACTAACACTGGCTGCCGAATGTCCGGCCGAAGCCTAAACCGCACACGCTAAAGTCTCCTATTAGGAGATTCCCTGCAATGCGGGCTTTGTCCTTGCTAGGCAGGAGGGAAAAAACGTAGGAGACAAGAGAACCCGAAACCTTACCCCTAACGCCGACCCGCACCTATGGAACCTCGCCTGCCTGTCCGAGTTGTGAGAGCATAAACCCCAAGCCCTAACCTCAACAGCACTCTGGCAACGCATAACTTAACTGTGCCTGTAGACGTGTCCTCCCTCAAAGTCACATCCGTTCGAATCAGTAAGGGGTTTAAGCTTTAGGGTAAGGGATCTGTAAGGGTACTGTATATAGGGGCCTTAATAATTAGAATAGGCTTTTGGGGTGGATGCGGGCGAAAGCCTGTCGACGAAGAGCGAAACGAAGGACGACGTGAGAATTGGGTTTTGGGGTATATTATACTAGACATATAACAAGGAACCCTATTGGGAACTAGTTACGCCCCTATAGTAAGGTTTCGGTGCTCCCACTCGGACGGACCAGGCGAGGTTTGGGGTTTCGACGCTCACACTCGCGCAAGGCAGGCAAGGCTCCACATAGTCCACAGTATCTCCACTACTCATATCTAGCGGCCTGCTTCCAGCTATCCCTTCGTAAGCAGCATAGCAACCCCAAAATACACCGTGGAGATTTGCGATAAACGCTGCATGTGATACTGCATGGGATGCATGGGTGGTGGGACAGCTGATGGAAAATGCTGCAGGTGACGCACTGCCCTGAATGCTCTGCATGGACCACGTTTACACGCACTGAGCACAACGAAAGCCGAGTAGTGGTAGCTTCATTTTGAAACAGGGGCACCTGCCCGAATGAAGGCCCGCGACTGGTCCTATCCTGCTAGTTTTTCGATGTAGCTGTGTATTTTGGGGTTGCTATGCTGCTTACGAAGGGATAGCTGGAAGCAGGCCGCTAGATATGAGTAGTGGAGATACTGTGGACTATGTGGAGCCTTGCCTGCCTTGTGCGAGTGTGAGCGTCGAAACCCCAAACCTCGCCTGGTCCGTCCGAGTGGGAGCACCGAAAGCCTATTCTAATTATTAAGGCCCCTATATACAGTACCCTTACAGATCCCTTACCCTAAAGCTTAAACCCCTTACCGATTCGAACGGATGTGACTTTGAGGGAGGACACGTCTACAGGCACAGTTAAGTTATGCGTTGCCAGAGTGCTGTTGATGCTATCGTGACGGTACCTCCTAGTTCAGTCTCACTCAGCAGAGTTCAAACCACATGCCTCGCCTGGATTGTCCGAGGGTGAGCGCCGAAACCCAAAGCCCGAGGCCCTAAATTTACACTACCCAAAGGCCCCAAAGTAGTTCCTTTTCGGGGTTCATATCTAGAATCCTATGGGGTAATCCAAAAAAGGAACAAAATTAAATCCTCAGATCCCATATGGGCGAGGGGGTACTCTATTTTCGGGGTCCTCATTTTAAGGATCCTTACTTTGGGGCCTTTGGGTAAACCCGACTTTTCTCGGCCCGGAGCTCCCAGATTCGACTGCCTCCAATCCGGTCCTTCCGAGCCGAAGACGATTTGGAGGCCAGGGGTCTGTTTTTCCTTTACCGCTCTTAGGAAGTAGGTTCATGTTCATTTTTTCTTATAAATATAACTATTATAACTGACTGTGATTACTAGGAATATTTGCTAAATCTGGTTCTAAGGGGGGCTAAGTTGCAGCACTTAGGAATCAAAGTGTCATGGCTAGTACTTTACAGTACTCAGCAACTGAACAGGTAAATAATTACAAATTCAGTACAAGTAGGATTATGACGGTGATTGCAAAAACAATGAGCAATAGCTCGAAACTCAAAACAAATGCATACCTAAATACAAACTGAGAAACAACTAGATAAGTATACTTACATTTCGGTGAATAACGAAACACTCTATAAATAAATGTATATATGTATACTCATATGTGTATATGTGTGTATACACCTAAGTATACATATATCTATATACATATGTACACTTGTGTATGCACATATGTATACGGGTTGAAAGAATGGGCACATGCACGGCCAGGCGCATCTGAAACGTTTTCAACAGCATCGCGATGATTTGCATAACTATGCTGATGAACTCCTCTGTTTCTAGCAGCACCGCTTGCTGCATGCATGTGCCACAGGCCACAGTCGTTTTGAAAAGAGGCTTTGAGTCGATATCCCGCCGTTCTGACAGCCATAGCCTATCCTCAAACGTGTATACCTGAAGCATTTCCAGTTAAAGCTGGGGAAGGAAGGCGTCCAGATTAATTAGACTCTAAAATGCTACATATATCAAGAAACAGGCAAGACATTTGGCAAAGGACCCCTGCTTTTCTGTGCACAGATGTGGCACCGCAGTGTGGGATTCCAAGTTCCTACATGTAACGGATTTCAGGGGTGTGTGTGTGTATATACAATAAAAACATATGTGTATATATATGTATATATATGTATATATATATGTATATATATATATAGATGTATATGAGGCATGCAGCTACATGCATGTGCATGACCTACAGGGGGACCGTGGGTCCTCGACAAGTTCGCCTTCTTTGTGCCACCTAGGTGTATCGCGTGGACGAACCTCATAGCCATGCTCCTTCTGACCTTTGAAGCGATGATTAATTAAGACTGCTCTCGGACAGCAGAGTGCTGCTGGTGTGGTCTAAGGAGACCATTTTTCCTGCAGTGTCATCTGCAGTTTTTGAAATTTGGCTTCACAGGCTTTGAAGGCCTCGAGGCGAGTGTCAGCAGTTTCTGTATGCTGCCTGGCATTCACGATCTCCCTTCTTCGTTGAAGGCCGTTGCTTTGTACAGGTCAAGCCAACTTAACTCTTGAACAAGTCGGTCCCATCATTCTGGGCGCCGCCCTTCCAATTCCCCCTTGCACGATCGATTTGACCCTACGGTCTGCAGACAGCCCTGTTTTCCCGTCCAGCTCGCGAGCTTTTGCTTGTACAGCTAGCCATCTCGGCTTCGAAGCGTCATCGGCACGGTGCCTGCAAGAAGCCTAGGTCACTTGACAGGCCGTGAGACTCAGACTTTAAGAAAAGGCTCGCGCACTGCAGTTGCCACCTCTACCAGCGAAACGTTCTGCTGCGGCTCCAGAGCAAACCCAGTTTGGGCCTAAAGAAGGGGATTTCTGAACCGGTCTCGACTGCGATGACGATTCACTCCCTCAGCACTAAACCTAGCCGCATCCTATCTGCACCGTTGCAGGACGCAGAAGACATCGGCTTTGCCGTCTTTGAAGATGTCTGCATCCGAGCACCTCGGCGGAATGCTTATGTGTGCGCGCGTTCAACCAGGCCTTATGCCGTATTCGGAAGCCGATAAGTCAATCAAGCAAGAACTTCTGGCATGGGATATCTTCGGTGAAGTGGCTTGCAAAAAGGGGCTGTTTTGGACGATGCGGGCTCCCACTTCTAGAAACACAAGTTCTTCGACTGCATGAGGTGAGGTTGCCGTAGTGTGGCAGTGTAAACATACTCACTGATGTGTGTGCTCACAGGGAGCTGGACTCGGACCTAAGCAACCTCCATCCGCAAAGTTACCTTGAGAAAGGCAGGGATGTCGCCTGGGCTTTACACCACGTGTGTGTTCCACTGGGCATACTTCGCTCTGGACTGCAGCCATGGGCAAGCTCACAATTCCGGCAGGTATAAGAGGTAAGTATAATCTCGGTATAGGTATTATAGCATTGCACTCGGTTCAGCGTTTGTGCTATGCCTCCCGATGGTCTAGCCCGCATTTTCGTGCCCTTGCATTGCGAGACTCTTGATGATGGCACGGCAGAGCAAGCCAGCAAGAGAGACTCAGAACTTTTTGACTGCTGAGCTGACCGCCCAGGGGCCACCTTCATCAGTTGCTCCTCGGCCTACGTGGGGATGTTTGTGCCCGTCCTCGCTACTGCAACTGAGTGCTAGACGTATCCCCAGCTTTTGGGACCCATCGATTCGTCTAGCGTTATGTGGTGGTGTAGAACCAGCAACACGCGAGGTCATGCCGAACTGGCGTACACGAATCTCAACATTCCAAGGTCGCATGGCCTGCCGAACCAGCGCAAAGTTGATGCTCAATTAAACGGACGCTTGGACCGCACTCCATTTCTACTAACAGTGCACTACACATCCCGCGTACCCGTGCCCTGGTGCATGCACAATACCAAGAGGAGCTCAGGACGAGATGCAGTACTAGAGTTACTAGATGGCAACGTAGAGCCGTGCATGCACACACACACACACAGAATGCGAGGGATTGGAACGGCTGAGTGAGTGAGAATTTCGATGAGGAGACACATTCCCTGCAATTGCCTGCAGGCTTGGTCTTCTAGCGGTTCTTCTGACCGTGCCATGGAAGAGACTCCGTGTCCATGAAGGAGCCAGTCTTTGGCCCGGAGGATGTATCTTTAGGATTCTGCGTGGGGATTGTGCATGCGATATGGGGAGTGGGGGACGCAGCACGAAGGCCAGTCTCGTACTGGTTGCAGTCTGTTTGAGATCTGAAACTCTGTCACCTTCCGAAAGCAGTTTGCAAATCGATGCAGCAAAGATCATGGTGTTCTGGCGGTGCTGATGCATGGTCTCGCGCATGCACTCTCTCTGGTGTCTAAATTCGTGCATGACCGGTTGCAGCTTGTGCATGTTGTCGGTGAGGGTGCGTTGGAAACCAAGACCTCTCCACCGCGCTGCGTATGTTCGATACTGCGTGGCCCCACTACTCGAAGGAGCCCTGTTGATCCTGAGTTCCTTTATACACCTCAAAGCTTTGGACTTGGGGTTTACAGTCTTTAAGCCCGAGAAAGTAGATTTGCGGTCTGTATCGTGTGTCCGAGAGTGGGTGCCCCGTTTCGATCGTGCTCACGTGCCTGTGAGCTGTGATGCAGAAGTGCAGTGGCTCGAAATGCTGGCGGCTAGCCTCCGTGATTCCAGAGTCACAGAAATTAGTGTTTGGGTTTACGGCTGTCGACATACGAACTTCAGCGGCAGCTTGACATTGACTAGGTGCTTAAGATAACAGTGCCGGACGCCGTCGGGCGTGACGGGGATTTATCCTCTGCCATCCAAAGAATGTCCGAACATGACTAGTTATGGTTGTCATACTGGAAGTGTTGCAGTTCGTGTTGTTCTTACTACTACTGCTAATTACGGCTATTCTTTTGAGCAGGAGGAGGAGTAGTAGTAAGAAGGGGAGAAGTAGTATCCAATGACTCTCATAAGACTGCCCCGCGTCCTTTCCGCGACCGATCCCTGTAGCCAACACCCCCAAAAACGGTCACCCGCCAATACGCTTCGGTAAGATCCCTTCGGGCTTGGATGACTTTGTCTTTGCAGGCGCCGGCAAGAAGAGGCCAGGACCTGGCTGTATGTGCACTACAAGAGGTTGTTGCACGGTGTATATATGTTGGAAACTTATTCTGGATGCCACTTGTGCGACGGGGTTTCAGTTGCGCACTACACTACTACATGTCGTGCTCCATCACACACCACGGTCTGAATACAATGAATACATATGTGCAGATCTTTGTGCTTCTTCGTGCAACCTGTGCCTACACACGCATGCAAAACATTATTGCATGCGAGCCGGTGATACTACGCATATAGTCGCACGTCCACCTGAGACTTACATTGGCGGTGGGCGAGCTAATCCCGAGTGCATGGACAAGCCAGGAGCTCACGCACGAGCATCAGTGTCAGGGACTGAAGAGAGCCAAGGTTGTATGTAGCTCTCATGGTTGAACAGATACTGGTGGCCTGCTACTGCAGGAACAATTCCATGTGGATGCCTTTGCGCTAGTATGCCCTACCCACCCTTGTGCAGCTGCTTAACTCGTGCCCTGCCCTTGTCCTGCCCCGCCCTGCTAACCGCCGCGTAGCCCACTTCGGGTTGTTCGAATCGCAGCGACGGCAAGGGGCCTGAGTCACCATCACCAACATGGTCAGACCAGCATCAACACGAAGGGTCCAGCCCACAAGGCGGAGGCACCATGGGCAGCCGAAGATTAACGGCACCGGCAAACAGCCACAAGAGATGTCCCCGCGTGAGAATGATTGGGTAACAAGCACCCGGCATGAAAGAGCTCTCAGGCTTCTCTACTATACTTTTTTTTGGGGGGGTTCCTTACTATAGTTACAGAAAAATGGTTCCCGAAACCCTAAGAATGGTTGCAGGAAGTTGGAGACTTTGCGAATCTTACCAGCCTTGTGCATAGGCTTCATGTCCCATCGACCGGTCACCAAGAACTTCGCCTGGCATGTCCGAGAGTCAGCACCGAAACCCAAAACAGGCCTAAACCCTCAACCCCCTGAACCCCTAAACCCTAAACCCGTGCCTGCGTCAGCGAGTGTGCGAGTCGAAACCCGCGAGTAGCCAATGTGCTTGTTCGGTCTGGTGCTCGGATCCTCGCCTTTTTGTCTAGTTGTGAGTGCTGAAACCCGCGACCGAGGGAGGAGCAGCTTGGAGGAGGAGCTGCAGGCTCATTAAAATTAGGGTCCCTCCCTTTTTGGGTCCCTATTATACTACGGCATCTATTTTTTAGGGTACCCAAAAAGGGACCCAGTTGTTCGGGACCTTCATGGGCTTAGGGCTTAGGGTTTTGAGACTAGGATCATGAAGGGTGCTTGTGCAATGTTTGAAGTTGTCGATACCTATCTCTTTGCCAGATCTATCAACCTAATCGTGTAGCATTCTGACTGAAAGTGTAGATGTAAGTGTGTGTATGTATATATATATATATACACACACATTAACCAGAACATTGGTAGCAAAACATAGTACAAGTAGTTTAGCGCAGTAAACATATTCTCACTACTCGACATATGTACAAATATGCACATACCAACGGGAAAAGCCATATGTAGAGGCAGATCCACTTAGCTATCTAGCGAGCTATCTAGGTATGCAAGTAGCTTTGTAGCAAGGCATAGGTAGGTGTAGATCGGTCGACTCGACAGACCCGACACATATAGAGATACAAGTCGATGGTTAAATCAAAAAGCAAAAAGCACTGCCCTAGACCATAAAGCTTGAACCCGGAAAGGTTCAGCTGAAGCTTCGGGAACAAGCAGAACGGGCATTGCTCGAGGTCTTCTCGTCCGCGAGTCTCGGGAATGTTCTGATCAAACCCGGGTTTAGTCGACAGCCGACATCTCTCTCGGCATTGAGGGAGAGTGTAGTGCGTGTTTCGCAGGGGTCTGCAGGGTTGTCGATTAATTTGTTTGAGGTCCGCTAAGTCCTGGCCCACACCCCAACATGTGAATCCTGGGAATTATCCTGGAAGTCTCCAAGTGAGCTGTGGAAGCTACTCTGTGACAAGATTTGTGAAAGGCTGTGCGATTGGAACTTGTCTTTTAAGCTTGCTCCCGCAACTTGGTAACCTGTTCAGAACGGCTTCCACGTGTCATGATCCGGTTTTTGTCGGGTTCATCGCCACACACATGCTGTCGTGCACAGCCTCGCAGACATGTCTGTCCATATGCGAGAACGAGCATGGCAAGGCTCTTGCTGCTGCGTGCTGCTGCGTGTTTGCGAAACCGAGCTCAGATCATTTCCGGAGAGGTTCCTCCGCACAACCCGCGGCCAGCACGGTCAATGTTGGGCAGGTGGAAAAACGCTTGGAGTCTGTGGAAG